GACCGAGTCCGTGACTGCCTCGGCCTGAGTGGACCTGCTATGTTTCTTCAACCTGGCCCAGAAGTCGCGATTTGTTCAAAGGCCCTCAAGATAATCCTGAAGCCTCTTAATTATCTCATTGCGCCGACCTTTTTAGGTGCCGAGATTCTGGCTGAAATTTATAATGTCATGATGTAACGAAACACAACGTAAGAGAAACTAACTTATCCGGGACTTCGAGACGTATAAGAGGCCCAAGGTATTTTGTGAAGCAATTCTCAACGGTCGTTATGTAAAAGGCTAATATAATTCCAGCCGTAATCCTTCGGCACTATTGCTTATAGCCGTAGCGAGCTGCTGGAGATGAGTGTGTTGGGGGAAGACAGTCACTCAAGGCGATGGAGGAGGTTTGGAGTTTCCCGAATCACTGGATAGCGTTTCGACTCGATTAGAGAACCAAAGGGAACTAAGCTGGAAGGCACGAGGCCTAGCTGGACTTAAGGAGTCGTCTGTATGCGAGATCTCAACGTGACCCTCTAACGAGAAGTGCATATGCGAAATTTGAAAATACATTGAGAAACTAGACTACTTCTGTAATTGTAATTTCTTGCTGATGAGTGGGAAAGGTCGCTTGAGCTTAATGTAGCTTCACCAATCAGGCCATGCAAGTCTCTATTCTTCTAAAGATTAAAGATCTGATATTAATGTTATGGTTCGTGGGTCACGGGGATTATAACATGCCCAGACTTTGAGTTGAACGAAAACGCAAGAGATGTGCGAAATCACCTAAAAGCCTAACATTCGGTAACATAGCAAAATTAAATCTAAGTTATAAGAAAGTGAAAATTAAAGCCACGATTATAATGTCCTATATGATTTAGAAAAGATGTTTATGCTTCACGGTCAACCCCAAAGTACGTCTCTCCCTGCGCGACCGCTGCAGCCATTCCTTGCGCTTAATCCCTTTGGGCGGCTTGTGCGCCTACAAAGTTTTATTAAATCTCCTAGATCGCGGTACTTAGACCTCTTAGTATATTATGAACTCCAAAAGTAATTTCATAGCGAGGGAAGTTGCCGCTCAGGGCCGCGGAACTGGACGATAAGCCATAGCCTGCGCCGTGGTAGTGTTCGGGCTACTGCTCTAGTTAGAGAGTAATCTCTTTAATTGGAGAGAACTGAGCGCCTTCCCCGACTGAAGTATATTAAAAGGCTTTGGGACCTGGAGTTCTTATGTTGGCTTCCCTTGCGACTATCACTGATTTAATATTGAATGAAGGTTTTGTTTTCTCTAGCGGTATACATTAGAAAGACAGATGACGATTTTATGGGTAGGAGAAGATACCCACTGACTATTATCGGATGTCGACCGCTCTTCAGACATGTTGCTGGAGGAGTGACTGATATTGGCCTTTAACGTAGCATTATCGAGTATGTCGAGTTCCTAGGTCTTGCCGTGGGCGCTTTCTGGGCATTATAAGATGGCAGGCTGGGCGACAGATGAGATTGAGAGGGGGCCCGGGGACTGATTGTGACCAGCAGCTAAGTGAGCAGTCTTCTTCGAGGACGGACACTCAGGAACTATGCTGCGTGACTTCACGGGCGCATGAGCATAAGATCGTGGGTGAAACACCAAGATGGCCAGAGGCAGAAAGGGCTTCAGAACTACAACGCCAACCATTAAATTGAGCCCGGTAAGTATATTACTGTGAGACGTAAAACAATAAGGTGAAATACGATGAAATAAAGAAAAAGGTTGTCTAAAGACGCGTTAATTAACTCGCAGTTTTAAGGGCAGTGTTAAGTACGGTAAGATATTACCGTAGCGAAGTTAGATAGGATAAGTAGTCATAGTAAAGTCCGATAGTAGTATATTTATTCTCCAAAGGTAGAGCCCTATAAGTTTTCGTATCTAAAGTAGTGGTCTTATTACGTTCTATACTCCTATTCAATAAGTAAGACGCGTCGTAAGAGCGAGGAAGACTAAGTAGAAGCTACGACTCTTACACCTTTCATTAGCTTTTACAACATATAATAGCTCACACTAGCATCTCTAATTATGCCGTTCTAAAAGTAAGATAATAAGAAATAGTACTAAGTACTTAGACTAATAAATCAGCATACTCCTAATTAGATACCTAGGATTATAAGCCTACTAAGTACTGAGCTAAATTCGATTCTTAGTCATGCCTTTATATATTAATATCACGCTTTAAGCGCAGCATTTTAAGTATTCTTATTTAGAAAAGGGTATTGTTCTATATAAAAAGGGGGGTTTCTCTTATCGTAATATTTTAAACTAAGAGGAATTTCTAGAATTTCACGACACTAGTTCTCTATAAAATAAATAAAAAGGAAAGGAATTTAGATACTAAAATAAATTTTTATAATAATTAATATTAGCTAATATACTAAAAAGAATTAATTTAAATAAAATTATAATTCTTTTATAATAGATAAGTATTACGAAGGGGACCGAGTTTAATCACTAACCTTTACGGCTACTAAATAACTCTTCGTAGCCTTAGTACGAGATTAATATTATATATTATATATAATTTATTTTATAGAGATAGTAGTTGTGGTATATAAGAAGTTTGCGCTGGCCCGGTTTATTCTTAACGACTTCGCGTACTCCATATTGCACACATTCTACACAGGAGCCGGGGCTCGAGCTGAGTACTTCTAGAGCTGTTGGTGTTTCCTTGCGGAAAAGCTGAACCAGGTCTCAAACGACAATAGCTGTAAGCTTCAAAAATGCCAACAGGCAGAGGGGGAAAGAAAACGCCCTATACCTTCGAGACGCTGTATTGCCAGAGGTTCTTTCGATGCTCTTATGCCCATTCCTATTCCAGTGATATGCTACTGGATGCACCTCCCTCGTATCTTCTCGGCAATAGTCGTGATGGGTATCACTGATCCTGCCCCAAGCACTACACCTATTGTAATTAATTAATAGGCCGTTGGATCCATTCTGTATAACGGTACGAAAGAAGGCGACATACAGTACACATTATAGGCAGCTTGAACGAGCTCAGTGGCGTCGTTACGAATAGCTTTGTCGACAAGCTCAGAATTCCAGCCTTCAGCAACCGCCAGCTGACAATTTGGTAGCAAGCCCCTGTAATGAGCGGAGAGGCCAGCGGCGTGGTGTGATATTAGCTTAGTCGCTACGGTAGCGTCTCTCACGTGTATGCCTTCTCCATCTTTGCCAGAGCGGCCGAGACCGTAATCGATGTTATTGTGGGAACTCATGTCAACCAAGTAAGGGGTGTGCTACCGAGTGATGAGTCTTCGTGTGTCTTGAGTTGGTCATGGAAGGAGGATGATTCCGGTATCTCATGACTTGATTCACCGCATATATCAGCACTAAAAGCCATCTTCCAACACAGGAGTTGCTCAGGGACTTGATTATAAATGGATTCTTGGACGTGAGATAAAGCGCTTGTCGGTTGTTGTTTCGCTGACTTCGGCTGATGTAGCCAACTCTCATGTGTAACAATATCCTATGCTACTGAGCTAATGTCCTCAGAAATAATTCCGACATACGCCGCATCGTTCATTGGTTACAAGATACGGTATACGGTAAGCGAAGCTTCATTTAGTTTAGCAGATGTTTGTGTCTCCACCGCTAGCGCCAAGGTACCTCAAGCTAACTCACTGAGACCTAGTTCTCTCCGTAAACCTTCACCTTAGTTTTCCAAACCTCTGAAATCTAGAATGTGTCACTAAGCCACTGAATAAGTACTAGCAATCTCCTTAAACCTAACGCTAGATCAGTTCCTCACCAGCCAACCTGTGTTAGGTTTAGTTTGAAGAGTCTTGAAATCTGCAGTCATCTATTTGCATCCGATTGCATGGCTCAGTGACGGCTTGACTCAGGAGATCCGGAACCCACAATCACATACGTGGAGAATTGATGACACAGTCATTGTGGACTCAGGTACTCGATGCATCCATGTATACTTACTTATGCGTCACTCCTTCTTCATTTAGCAATCATCGAGTTTTCAACCGGCAGCCAAGAAAAGTCTTCCTATCTCAACTTCCAGCCCCAGCCGCATTATCCTCCGCCCTTTGGCCATCTATCACCACAAACAACCCGCTCAATACTGCAAGCTATAGGAGGACTATCTACGCCTTGCATGAAATTTGGAAGGTCTCTGACACTCGAGTTTGAAACATAACAGAAAATGTCAAGCCCATCTCTCTCTTTAGTCTATAACACGCAACCAATTCGTTACTCTCCCACCACGGAGAAGAAACACAAGCTCTTCTGGGAGGCTGTTGTTCGAGCTGCGGAACCTGGTATCAAGCCAAACAGCGCGGCAGTAATATGGAATAACACAGTGCATGCAAAGTTTAAAGTCGCAAGGCGGCTTTGGCTCCGCACGCCCTTTTCCCAGTCCATTACGGAAAATGTTCTAGGAGCTGACACAGCCGGGACTTATATGGGAGAGCCCGCAAGCCCAGGAGAACGGCGCAGAGAGCCATAAATGTTTCCACAGTTTGGCAAACACACACTGGGCATAGTACAGCTACTACTTTGGGCAGCCCTGGGGTTGGAGGGATTGGGCATATGCAGTCAACTCCTTGGATAGAGATGGCTTTGAAGGAATTTCGCCGCCTACCCGATGACTCTTCACTGCATTGAAGGCTCACATCAACTATGGATACAAAGCCCGTAATGGCCCAGTGATTCCGCACAAGACCCTTTTCTCTGAGACTTTCAACCAGATGGGCCTAACCGACTTTGGCTAGAGGCTTTCTCCCCATGTTTAACAGAATCATTGCCTATGACAGTTCAAAAGCCAGCTGTCTCCAATCATTCCTTGAAGAGTGGTGAACAAAGACGCGGTGTTGGCGTGCGCTAAGCCAATATCAGCTAGAAGGCAAAGAGGATGACCAAGCCTCTGTGCTAGTGCCGTGCTTATTCAGATTCGCTACCTTGCGACCTTACGTACGTGGGTATAAAGTAGCGCAGGGTATGTCGTTTGCCGTATTTCATCTCAATCATCCCGTGGCGCTAGTTTCCAGAAGCTCAATTCATCTCAGCCCAGCAGAACCAGGAAGTTGAGCGAATGACTGGTGCATGTGCATGAGAGATATTCCGCCAATGGCAGACTCGATCCCACGCGACAGACGGCGAAAGGCTCACCGTAAAGTAAAGACTGGATGCAAAGCGTGCAAGGCCCGCAGACAGAAGGTAAGGTTACGTTCTTGGTGTTGAAGTCTGCCAGTCGTTAATCCCTGCTTCAAAGTGTGACGAGAGGAGGCCGATATGCTCCGGCTGTACCAGGCATTCAACGGAATGTTTGTATCTATCCGCTGAGTGCATTGTCCGGAGACAAGTACTCGAAACAGCATATCTACAGCCAATTGCGCGTGTGCCAGACACGACGGCTAGTTATCTTACACCTCCGACTCGAGACTTGAACCTTTCGGACCTGGAACTCTTGCATCAGTACCTGACGTCCACATGCAAAGCGACCTCGCAGCTGCCCGAGGTCACGACTCATATCCAGACGACGATTCCTCACCTAGCTCAAAACTACCCATTTCTGATGCGCGGCATTCTTGCCGAAGCAGCTATTCATCTGTCCTGGTTACATCCACGTCGGAAAAGCCATTACGCCGCACTGGCATCGAATCATCATCGGCTTGGTCTGCCAGATTTTAGGGCAGCACTACAGACTATAGACACGGACAATTGCGATGCATTGATGGCCTATTCCAAAGGCCTGGTATGGTGCGCATTTGCCTGGCATGAGTCGTTTTCCGCAGACGTGCAGGCGGTCTCCCCTGTTGGGGTCATCAGCTGGCTGCCTCAGTGGTTCAACCTCCTTCGTGGATCTTGCCTCATTGTTGAATCGTGCAGACGTTGGTCTACGAACTGCCTATACGCTTTACCGCCACAGCTCGACGACATGACTGAGTTTTTCAACAGCACAGACGGCTGCAAAATATCTGCATTAAGAATACAGTTGACTTACAAAGCGCATTCTCCGGCCTGCGAGGCTCTTCTATCCACTCTCCAATATTCCTTCGCACTAGCCTCTATGAGGCATCACAACACCCCTTTACGGAATGCCATCAATAATTGGATGAGCGCTTTACCTAATGATTACGTTTCGCTACTTCAAAAGGAAGAGCCGTGGGCTCTTGTCCTGCTGGCTCATTTCTGTATCCTAATTCACCGGTCCGAAACACGCTGGTTTATGAAGGGTCACGGATCGCGACTCCTCCAGTCAACAATTGGACGTCTCGATAATCAGTGGAAAGATTACGTCCAGTGGCCACTTGAAGAAATTGGGGTGTGTGGACTATATCAGGTAGGACGATGATTGTTCGTGACATCGTCACGTGCATCTTCCAGCAATAGTTATCTGTGTGAGCATATCATTCATGCTAAATACCGGCCTACCTAAGTTGGAGGGCAGAAACACAGGACTCTAACTCCTATGAGATTGCTAGAATGAGGCGAAAGTCTGTTTATGGGGCATCTGTACCATGTTCTCTATCGCGACGTGGAAGCTTTCAAGACATACCTTAGGTACTTCACAGGAGAGAGAATACGAGGAAAGACAAAAACCCATAGCTTACGGCAGTTGGTATGTAATCATAGAACGCACTTGGCCTCATAACAACACACATATCACGACCGATTTCTCCTTATGTTGACAGCAAGGGGCCCATACTATTCAGTCAATATATCTCGTAAGTGGCAACAGTAGCGCAGCGCCATCTTGTGTTTGATCGCTATCTCTGAAGCACCTCCAGTAACCTTTCTCGCTGTCCATAGTCTACGTATAAACGATACTTTGGCTAAAATCTTGTACAAGATGTCAAAAGCTTTAGGTTTGTTCTCCCGACAGCGATGTGGAATTGAGACCGAAGTGGTTTAGTTCGCTTCAGCTGCTCTTTCATTTTTCTGCTTTTGATGGCTGCGCATTGCGTCCAGCAGACGTTGCTCAAAGTAAGGTATCTACAAAGGTCTTCTCACTACCTGCGCATACGTCGGTTAGTTCCATCGAATCAATGACGATTTGGCGCTCCCTGCTGCGGTAGAGAAGAGGCGGCGGGTAATTGCATTATACCATACAGTATGTCATTGCGGCGTTTCTTACGATCGGCCTGTGGATCTTCCCGACTGTTTCCGACTTTGGGGCCACAGACTTGGGCATACGTGAAGCCTAAGGTCTGAAATGTTACTCAATCTCCAGACTTGTATCATCGTATAGAAAAGGCAGAACCAAGCTCGGCGACGGTACTTTCATGTATCAAGTCGTAAGGTAAACTTGATAGGTTACTCAGACAATCTTACAATTCAGTATTTGGAAACAACGGATGGACCGACCCATGATTACCGACGGCGAGCCATTGAGTCATGAGGCGTCAAGAGAGGATTATGTCTTCATCATTTTACCTGTGGATATCACGACTCAAAGAAATGTAATGAGTACCATTTGGGCACATCTGAGCAGCATGTCCCTCCCCACTATGATAGGCGGAGTGGTGAAGTAACTACTAAACCTCGATCATGAAAGGCTCATTTTCCTTCTCGAACTAGCCATGGTGATTGCTGGAAGTGAATATTGCCTTGTTTAATCTACTTCTAAGGAATGACTATTCAACTTAAATAAGAGCCTAAAGTTCCTCCTCCACTGTCAAGCAGCCTTTTGAAAAGTGCGTCTTGTCAAATTAGCTCTCCACCAGTAGAGACTCCAAGTGTGTCTGCCGCAACCGGGTGTACAAGTCACTCGACGTATGTCGAAATTTATAGAGAGATGCCAAGCGCACTGACCAGGCCAAAGAGGTCCCAGTTGACTCGGAGACCAACAATTGTGTCGTCCTGCCACCTAGCAATCGTGTAATGCAGCAGGTCAAAACCTCTCCCAGTGGCCTAGATCGGCTTTCCAGATATGTATTCGGGCAGAACCAGTTCACCCTTGTGAGTGCCGCTGAGAAAGGCAGCAGAAGCAGTCCAGTCCCCCTGGCCCACGATCTGTCGGTAGGGTTGATTTTCGAGTCGTAGATCGGGAAATGCGGTCTTCATGTTGTTAAGCCAATCGATGTACCCCTGCGGACTCAGTGGCTGATCAGAAAGACCGAAGATCTCGGCTTTCGGGGATAACTTGAGGCCTTCCAAAGTAAAGTTACCGTCATTCAGAGCATCATCGGACTTTGCCATGTAGGCCTTGTTAAGGGACGAGGTGTCTGTGTTGTTGGGACCCGTTGATAGCGGCGACGCAAGGTTCAGTTCCAGATCAGGTAGATTCTCGGCTGGTCTGTTCGCCAAAACACCCAGCTGGCGGTAAATCAAAGGGTTGTCGGACCACAGGTATTCCTCCACCATCCATCCGTTGCTCCAGCGGGCGATCGTCATCAAGTCGTATTGGACTGGCTTGTTTGTAGGAGGTAGATAGGTGCCGTCAAGATTAGTCAAGGGACCATTCTGAATGCCGGTGATGGTCTCAACGGCCAGAGTCCAATCTCCTTCTCCGAACAAGATCTTGTAGTCGTGATTATGCAGGGTCAAGTCAGTGTTGGAGTACACGACAACAATGTCTTCGAGATGCTCTGTCAGGTTCCTGATTGCCGTCCCTTGATAAACCTTGACATTCTCATCATGATTGAAGCGAGCTAGATCTCGGGCATTGAAAAAAGCGTCGTCAGATAGCTGCATCTGCCTTGTGTTCTGATCCACTGTCCAGTGTGTGATGTTGTTTTGGTTCGTTGGAGACTCCAGGGGAGGCGTATCTGATGAATTTTTAGTCGCCTACAAGGTATGGTCCTTAGACTAGCCTCTTACCTCGCCTCAGGATATGACTCCCCGAGGCAGCTGCCGCGCGCTGTACGTGCACTGGGACAAGTCCACCGCAAGCCGATGTCTTGTGGCTCATTGTCAAAAGTAACGCAGTAGTAAGGAAGTTCATGATGAATGGTGCATCGGGTTGCTTCTCGATGTTCATGTGGTGATATAAAAAATGGTTCCTTTGGTTGGGACATTCCGGATTTATAAACAATTCCTGTGAGATTTTACTACTACATCGTAGGTAGCTTTCATCCGCCTCTAGTGATTTATAATCCTTCAAGCAGAGAAGAGCTGTGAAATAGTGTCACTATCCCTAGCAATCTCGGCACTCCGGTTTCTAGGCCGTGGTCGATAATGATGAGTCACGATTGTTTCCAGTTGAGGTCATTTCAACGGCCCTTGACTGGTCTCGAGCACTTCAAAATACCGCATCGCTGCAATACTCGACATACGCAACTGCCGCGCTGTGTCGTACTACGCCGCGACCGGACTTCGCTGTGAATTCCACCTTTCGCTCACCACTTAGCACTTTATGCCGTATACCGTATACCGTGTGCCGTTTACCGTATACTGTTCACCGTATACCTTAGTCCACATAGCGTGGGCCGTCGCTTATTTCTGTCAGCAGCTATTAGGTCATCACCTTTTAAAATGACAAGGCAGATCCAATCACGTTTTTCACACTCTTTCGCATGCCTCAACATGGAAGGCATAGATAGACTGCATTTCACGTGGAAGGCTGAGCGAAGGGGGGTGTCGGTATACACGTCAGCAGGGCAGCCTTGCGGCCGATTACGAGGCTCAATAATCGTATATTGAACTTCGTATGGGTGGTATGTATGGATATGGAAGGAGGAAGTTCGCGGGCAAGCCCACGAATCCTCCGCGGGTGTAAGTAGGTGGAAGGGGCCGTTGGCACGGGCCCATATCGCCTACCTTCCTAATCCACCTTTTCTGCCTAATATTCCAACAGGGGGAGAGGGGGGTGGAAGCATTAGTGGCCATATAGTGATTAAACTCCCTAAGTGTCTTGCTGGACTGTCAGTAGCTGGTTACATTGCACTACTTTATTAGCAACTGGAAATCTCCCTTGCCCACTTGACGAGCACTTGAAGATGTGCTGAATCTCGTAGCAACCATATACTTTGGTGGCTCGGCAATGCATGTCACTCATTCTTGCCCTTTCGTTTAGGAGCGAGAGTACGCACTAAAGAGACTTGGGAGCCATACCGAGTAGAAAGGTTAGCAGTGGCGCTCGTCGAATAGGGGATCGATTATTCTCTTTCTCTTCTCTTGAAAAGTCAGTCGAGGTCTTGCCCATATTTTGATCCACTCACTCCGGCACTCATTGTTTTAAAAGATCCCTTGAGGCTCGTTATCGCAACACAGGTGGGCTATATCGGTGCTTGTGTTTTCCTTTCGCAAGTCGATCCGCACTCCCCTTGAATGTTCAATGCAGTCGTCACATACTCGGTCAGAGCTTGTGGAAGAACAAGTACCACACCCAGTTCCAGCTAGCTCTCAATGTCTGGATCCAGCTGTGCGACTCTCGGTCCTCGACCCCAGCTTCTAATTGCCTTCGTCCAGGTTATGTTCGTCGGATGGCACACCCTCAACAAGAATCGCCCAGCGAAGGTGCTCAATATACATTTCCGTAGTTTGCGGTCAGACCAAGGGTTAAGAGTCGCGCATCCTACTTAACACTTTCTTGACGCTTACTACCTTAGCATAACAAACCAGTAATATTCACAGTATTCTTTTCTTTGGCGTGAGTCTCGTAACTGACCGAGGGTTATGTGGAGAAAGCCTGCTTTATTATATATACCGATCGTATAACATAGCCCGAGGCATTCCTTAATTAATGCCCTATCAGTGGTCAATGTGATGAGGAGCCTGACATACGCGCGTCGCGCCTAAGTAGAACACATTCCCTCCTCTAAACACAAAAAATAGAGACTTGTTCTACTTAGCATTGCGCGAACACGCCAATGATAATTATTGGACAGCAGACGGATAGTCCAAGTCAAGACTCAACATAAAAGTCGGCACCGAATCCGATCTTCAGAAGGCAAAGCAGGCTCGCGCCGTAGTATGCTAGCAAGCTCGAGATCTTGCACTAAATATCGGTCTAAAAGAACTTCGTTATTGACAACATTATACTCAATCGAGGAATTGCACATGGAAATGAAACATTGCAAGATGTTTATAATGCTACATGTAGTGTATACATAGTCTTCTGGGAATGTGGATGGATTCGTGCAGCTCCGATGATAACTACAGCTAGTGGCAGCTTTTGAACTCGACACAAACATGAGGGTCTATTAATACAGGGTATTATTTGTCGCTGTATTCTAATCAGTGACTAGCAACGAAATAAGACGCTGAATTCAGAAGTAAAGTGATGACGTTATAGAGGAAGGCTTTGGTTACTACTATTACATGACCTGGACCTTGGCTGTAACCCCATCTTGTGGCTAGTATCTAGTAAATTGCAACAGCATCCGAATTTAAATGATCTCAGTAGCCCATGGCTGTGGACTGAAAACTCGTCCGGCTCTGAGCTTACAGGCGACTTTAATGAGGTAGATGCTCAACAATTTAATAATAGTTTAGTAAGCAGGATCATCAACAAAATAATCCAGCGACAGAACTAACTAGTGTTCAAGAGGTACGTCGAAAAATAAGATACGGTAAAAATTAATTATAGCCCAAAAAGAGAGGGGGGCATTACTTATATACAATAAGTACTTAATATAAAGATTTATAATCTTTTAACCTTATTATAATAATCAGTTCTAAGAATTCCGAAGTATTTTTATAGTATTAACTAAACAAAATCTATATTTCTATTTAAATTTAATAAGTTTTAAGTTAACTTGTTTAATTTTAGCCCCTTTATCGTTTTAGCCCCTATTAAGTTCTTTTTAATTATTTTATTAATATTTAATTTATAAAATATAAACTATTATAAAAATAATATATAAAATAAAAGTCTATTTAATACTTGTAAAAGCCTAATTAACTTTGAATTTATTCTAAGTTAAATAGTAGTTTTATAATAAAATTATTATATTATATTAAGTATATACTTAGAATATTCCTAAAAGCGTAATCCCGTTAAGGTCAATCTTTTATAATTATAAAGCCGGAATAAAACTATTATATACTTAGAGTATATTACGTATATTATATAATTAAAAATTATATTATATTATATAATTCTTTTTAAAAACCTAATCTTATTAAAATCGATCTTTTATATTTATAAAGCCGGAAATAAATTATTATATTTAATAAAACAATAGGTTTATTAAGTATTTTATATCTAATATATATAAGATGTTTTATATATATATTTGTTTTTAATTTGTTTTTAGTTCTACCTCTGCGAATCGCTCGGGCGGTTCTCGATATCGGTTACATAGTATTAATAAATAGTATTAGTGGATACCCCCACTGTCTTATTAGACTGTTTTATATATATATATAAACTAAAGAGTTTATTAAATAAGTTTTAGAAGTTTATATAAATAATAATTTAATTAATAAACGTTAAATATAAACATTTTTATCCTTTTAATAAAGTAATTTACTAGGGCCGTATTATATATTACATTAAAAAACTAAGTATATTACGCTCTATACCTAGTTACTAACTAAAATAGTTAATTAACTTAACTATTATTTTCTTTCTATTAATAACTCCTAACTTTTATTACTTATTAATGAAGCGAGCTACTTACTTTAATATATATAAAACTTCTTAATATTAACCTTTATAAATAACTAAATTTAATATATTTAATATAGTTTTTATATAAATATTATTATTATTTAGAGGGTTTATAAGAGCTATTTAAGATATTAATTTATTATTTTAATCTTATACTTTTTAGTTTATTTTTATAATTATTATAACTAAGCTAATATTAATATATTAAATCTTAATATTTATATTAATCTAATTATTTATAATACTTATTAAATTATTTAACTAAATTCTGTATTATTAAATAGTATTTTATTTTATTTTAAATATATTTATATTAGTTATAATAATTATAATATTAAACTACTCCTTAATAAAGTAATTTATTAGGGCTATATTATATATTATTTGTTTTTATTTCTACTTCTGCGGATCGCTCAGGCGGTTCTCGATATCGGTTATATAGTATTAATATATAGTATTAGTAAATACCCTATTATCTCGGTAAACATATTATATATTATATATTAAAGAAAACTAATTATATTATACTCTATATAGTGGTTTTTCTAGTTTTATAAGTATAAAAATTAACCTTAATAAGATTATGTTTTTAAAGAGAGTTATATAATATAATATACTTTTAATTATATAATATACGTAATATACTCTAAGTACGTACTTAACGTAATATAATAATTTTAATATAAAAACTATTATTTAATTTAAGATAAATAAGCTACTTTTACGTAGTAATACTAGTTAAAACGGTTAATAATAAAAGTTAGCTATAATAATTAGCTATAATAGTTAGTTATAAAGGTTAAAAGTAGCCCTTAATTATAGAAGTTTTAAACTTTAATAGTAATATAGAGGTTTTTAAAAAGGGTTAAAAGGGCTAAGATTTATTACTTTTAGAGCTCGTAAAGATTTTTATCCTTATTACTTTTAATATTATTTAAAGCTCTATTTATATTATATTTTATATTTGATTATCAATTAAAACCGTAGTAATAGTTAACTAATTTAATTATTATCTCCCTTTTATTAACTCCTAAACTTTTATTATATAATTTTAACTATTTATAAAGCGAGCTTTACTTATTTTAATATATATAAAACTTCTTAATACTAACTTATATAAATAACTAAGTTTAATATAATCTCTTTTATATAAGTATTATTATTACTTAAGGGGGCTTATAAGAGCTATTTAAAATACTAACTTATTATTTTAACCTAATCTTTTAGCCTATTTATTATAATTATTATAATTAAATTAATATTAATATATTAAACTTTAGTATTTATACTAACCCGCTATTTATAGTACTTATAATATTATTTAACTAAATTTTATATTATTAAAAAGTATTTTATTATTTTTAAGTATATATATATTAGTTATAATAGTTATAATATTGAGCTAATTATAGGTACTTAGCCTG